ACTTAAACCCAATTGAAAATCTTTGGGCAATTGTTAAAAGAAATGTAGAAATGCGCATGCCTAAAAATCTTTCAGAATTAGAGCAGTATATGGCCGAAGAATGGGATAGAATTCCAAATAGCGTTCTAATTAACTGTATCAGATCAATGAGACGGAGATGTGAGATGATAATAGAAAACAATGGGGAAAGGATAAATTGTTAATTTTATATCAATAAAAACTTTAGGTTTTGGGCTTTATTTTAATATCTTCTTTGTTAAGTTTTGTGCTGTGGTTGTTGAGAAATGAGTAAATAAAAAATTCCAAAAACTTTTGTTACACACTGTATCTCAAAAGGTATTGATCTAATTTTTTTATTATATTATTATATATTACTATTAAATTAAAACTTTAATTAATTGTATATTTAATAATTTAATAGGAGGGATCAGGAGTGATTTCTCTGGATCCAAGTGTACATACATTCATGACAGGTTATGATCCAAGTGGAGTAGCTGTTGAATGGGGTAAAAATGACATTGGCCGAATTTATCGATTAAGCGAAAAAATAAAATAAAATAAGCGAAAACGTTACAGGTAAATTTATTAATTAAATTATTTATTTATTTAAGATTTATTTATAATTTAACATATACAAATAATAGTAAGTCTCAATATATATATAACGACATCTAGTTATAACGACGGAAATCTTAGAACAAAAATTATATATTGCTTAGCTGTCGTATGTAAGTTAATTCTCGATATAAGGACATTCTCGATATAGTGACCATTTGGATTGGAACCGAGCGTGTCGTTATATCGTATACTACTTTCAATTGTAGATTACATCGTGTTATGTTACGCATTCACAAGAGGATCCGTTGTCTTGTGAATGATTGTCTGGCTAAATGGCTTTGTGAAAACTATCACATAATATTACTACTCGAATTTCGCACCCAAGGAGTAGTCCGACGTTCGAGTCATGTGTAGCATGCGCATTTGGTCCATAAGGCACGTGAGCATCCCTCTTCTTGGTATCTTACAAAAAATTCCCTGACAGGACTTGTTATTTAGTTTTAAATGTAGGCGTTGCTCTCTATCAATTGTCTAGAAACACCAAAAGAATTTATTTCCATTGTCCACCACTTGTGGGACGTATAATTTCTATTATGTTGATGATCACCTGTGTAACCGGATAAGTATGCAAAGTGCCTTTAGCACAAAACCATAATTGGATCGAGGGCGATATCTGTTGGAAGATGTTGGCACGCAGTGGAATTAATGTAAGATGTTGCTATGATATCAGTACGTTATACAATGGCTAATTCATATATCACACTACGTCGCCAGTCTTTTGTGCCCAAGAAACCAGTACGATTGCTCGTAACTTCTGCCACACGTGATGTCTTGCCTAAAGTCATTAATCTATATGAGGGGATCAGGAATGGAGATAGACATAGCTTGGCAAAGGCTATTACTTTAGGTTAGTCGCCAATTACTACTGAGGATGTGTTTTCTCGACTGGCTTGGTACAAAAATCAGTCAATGGAGCCAACATATCTGATGCTGGCAATGCATACAATCGTTATTTCTACGACAATTACTAACTTGTGCATCTCTTAAATGTTTGCTTCTCAGTCGAATCTACTCGCCGAGATCATAAATTCCAATCTGAACAACTCCTCTCAACGATCCTCAACAAAGCACCCGTCTCCACTCGCAGTCGATCACATCATTCCACCCTCCGAATCGGCCTTTCGGGTCCGCCAGGAGTGGGGAAATCAACGTTTCTGGAAACGTTTGGGATGTACATATTATCTCAGAGACATCGTGTGGCAGTCCTTGTAAGGGAGGAGAATTATAAAGGGTCGTAGCAAGATAGGTTGTTTGTGTATAGTAAAGAGAAGAATTTTTTGTATATGAGCCGTATAGAAATGGCGGCTGGGGGCAGGGGATGTGGTTCGATAGTAGTTGATGCGTCTTGACAATGGTGAGAAGGCGATGATGATGGTTGATGTTTACGCGATAGGCAGTCGATCCTTCGTCGTCGAGATCAGGAGGTAGCATATTGGGCGACAAGACCAGAATGCCACAGTTGTCTAATCAAGATAATGCGTATGTCAGACCGTCACCTAGCCGTGGGACGCTTGGTACGTATTCAGACATGAACAAGTTGAGCCGTTTATTCGATAACATTATAGATTTATTTGTCATCTTGTATGGTTTAGGCGGTGTAAGTGTTTCTTTAATAGGCATTGTTGGTTGGATGGCTCGACCAATTGATAGTTGCATTCAAATTAGGTCGCTCGTAATACGAACGAGGCAATAACCCTATGCGAAGGTATGCAGACAACATTGAATGTCTTGGTATTTGAATTAATCTAAAATCATCTGCGAATCTATAGCTGCCGGCTACGATGTGTGTCTTGTTGAGACGGTCGGGGTAGGGCAATCAGAGACCATGGTTGCTGAAATGGTTGATATGTAAGTAGGAAGAAATAAGACAAACAAATATCGAGTATGCTAATTTATGCGTGTTTCTTTATATAATGAAGGTTTGTCCTTATGGTACCGCCAGCGGGTGGAGATGAAATACAAGTGCGCTTTATTAATGTAAAGTGTATAGAACGCATAATCACACGCTCGTTAACTATGCGCCTTTGATCTATATTTAAGGGACTTAAAAAAGGCATTGTTGAAATTTCTGATTTGGTAATCATTAATAAATCGGATGGAGCATTCCAAGGAGCTGCAATGCAGGCAATGACAGAGTACACGAGCGCATTGAAATATCTACAACCCAATACGCCAGCATGGAAGCCTCGGGTAATGAATTGGTGTATTAGTATTGTGGAAGGTGTCTAACCGCAAGATAACTATAAGAATGCATGTGTGTCCTAATGGGATTATGTATAGGTCATTCGAGTTTCCGCTAAGAACAACGTTGGAATAAAAGAGACTTGGGACATAATACAGGAATACTATAAGGTGATGAGGGTAAGTTGATACGCGAAACATGATTTATCTACCTATACTTCATTAATTACGTTCAATACATGTGTAAATAGGAATCTGGCCAATTTGAAAAGAGACGCGGAGAACAAAGAAAATCATGGATGTGGACACAAATAAAAAACGAGCTTATGGATAGGTATTCATGGAGAGTCTCTCATCGACGATACGACAGCATAACTATGGTGCTAATAAATTATGTTTAAATCAATGCTTAGATTAAAATCTGACTCTGCTATAAGGACTATGGTCGAGGAACTAGAAGAGAAAGTGTTTCAAGGTGAAATGGCTTCCGGAGCAGCAGCTGATTATGTAGTAGATAGATTTACTAACAAGTATAGACAATAACCTCAGTAAAATGAGATTGAGATATTCTATCAGTACTAATTTTCAGAATAGAAATTATGAGATTATTATGAATTCTATATCAAATCTATTGATGTTGACAACGAAATATATAGTCCAATTACACACACAGCCCAATAAATACTTATGGATAAATATACAACAAACCAGAATGTGCACACCTTCATTAAATCCTCCGCTCATGGGCATCAATATGAGGCACCAACACATCAGTCTCAAGAGACGCCAAATGACCATCAAACTCAATTACAATCTTAACCTTGTCCTTCCCATTTTTCAATAATTCATTTTGATGATATGTCAAGCCATTCAACATAGCATTAACATCCTTCTTTGTTGCACCATCGATGGTTATGGTCGTGTTGCTCCACATTCCTCCAAGATGACCAAATGTCATTCGTCCTACAGAAGCGTTTATGCTTATCGTTGCTTTCTTACTTTTACCAGTGCCACCTCTGAGGAATATGGCATCGAACCCATTGAATTGACCATTACGAGATCCAGCAAATTTATTGTTGTCCCTTTGAAGAATATACTTGTACGTTTTCGGCCCACTTAGTGCAAATGGATATGATTTACGTGTGTTCTTTGTATCTGGTTTGCTTGTTGATGTTGCTGGGGCTGGTGGATGAGGAATATCAAGAGAGAATTTCTTTATAGTTAATCCAACGACACTCCCACTCTCTATATCTATGTGATTAGTCATCTTGCCGAACAAATGTATGCTCCACGATCTCTTTCCAATAGATCCAAGTTCTGCGGCTGCATTATTATCCCGCTTCAACAAAGCGGGTATCTCAATATAATCTCTTGGATATAAAATATAATTTGGGAGAATAACAATTCCACTTTGTTCAAGAAGTTTCCTATTATCCCTGACATGCATAGTCAAGGCACGCGGTCCAACACAATTAAAACAATTAAGTGAATAAATAGAAGGGTCTAAGGCCTTCTCAGTAATTTCTCTAATCATAGTCCGCCCTTTACGAAGCCTCATTACACCATTAGCCAGATAAGTATTCTTTTCGTCAAGTGTCCATTCCCTATCAGCGTCTACACTAGAATGATCGGATCCAATAAATTCCATTTGATTGTCGGGCGGAGCGCGTATCCAGAGAGCATCCATGTCCATATACATTCCCCCGTATTTATATAATAAAACATATCGCACGTAGTCGGCCATATGGTAAATAAAAAATTGTGAATTTTGCCATCTGTCCCAATGTCTAAGCCAATCGAGAGAATTCCATCCTAAATACCATTGATGTTTGATCAACAGGTCCTTGCTTATTTTTATAACGTGAATTTGATACCCTTGTTTTTGATAATGAGAAAAGAAATCCGATGGAAGAGTGTTGCTGACTACAAAGACGACAGCATTGGGCGTATGAACCCATATCATTTCTATTGTTTTATAATGACGCTCTAGGAATGTCGACTGATCAGTCACCCAAAGCATCCAATGAAGCAAATACCATTGTTCAGTATTAGAATATATTGATGAATGCTTCGACAAAAGTCCATTTATTATCCACTCATCCTCCTTACTTCCGATAGTCATATTCTCTTTATCAAATAGCTGAATAGCATATGCCGAATCTGGAAGAACTAAGTTTGGGTGATTAAGCATCGTGATCCCTTTAGCATCGTCGCATTCAAAGCCCCATTCCCTCCAATGATTCACTCGTCCACCACATGAATAACACAAAGCACAAAATGTTTGTGTAAACCCTTCGCACAATCTCCTTCTATTTATTACGTTCTCGTACATATCTTTCATTGACCGCTTGATATCGTACGAGTCACTGAAATGTTTTGCAATCATATCGTCCTCACAAACGTCGGCTTGTTGTATGCGCTTGTCATGAATAGGTCGAATATTATATGGGAAAAGCCAGATGCCTAGGTTTTGATCTTCGTTTTTGGTGAAAACACGCGGAGTGTCGGTTACAATTAGAGATATTAAGTCGCGGGAAAGTATATACAAGGCGCCAGCAGTAAATGGCGGGAATAATGGAAGTTTGTAGTCGAATGCGGCATTTTTGTTTGACGAGTCTTGAATCGGGGGGATATTCCTAAGAGTGTGAAAGAAAATGAATAATGAATACAGACAAACTGAATAAAAAGAAGAATGTAGCAAGTTTTTATCTCATATTCCATCCGGCCTTTCCTACTTACCAATACCCAAGTCCTCGCCAATAATATTTCCTCATCGGTCCCAATTCATCCAATTCTTTAGCAACAACATCCATTCTCACAAACATGTCATCGTCAGTCTTCACCATGTAGTCAAACACAAAACCGTTAGTCCACTTGAATGCCTCGTAAACCTTATGACTCAGTTTTTCGTACGAATCATCAGCCGGCACAATAACCAAGTCGTTGTACTGTTCATCCTCAGCTTTGAGTCTCTCACCCAACGCCTTACGCTTTTTTGCTGTCGGTGGAGACCCGATGACAAATCTATAGGCAACACTTATACGATCCGAATGGGACGGTATGAGTTTGGCCGAACTCTCTCTAAACATTTGTCGTTTACGAAAACCGCTTTCAGTCCAAGAAGTTAGGACAATCATAAGTACTTTTACTCGAGACGTTGATCGAAAATCATCGAGTGTCAAGTTTGTAGAAAGTCTGTAACCTCCTTGAGAAAATCGATCTGGAAATCTTAATGTTGCCTCTTGTTCAAGAAGCCCAACCATAGTCAGGAACGAAACAATGGACAATGGTATGAGGATAAATTTGATAATATCCTTCCAGACAGTAGAGCGGCCATTTGCAGGTTCGTGATGATGTCCCGTGGATAAGAACAGCCATTGAATAATATTGGCTATAGCGAGAGTGCAACTGACTATGACCCATGTCCAAACTGGTTGATCGGGACCATAGTGAGAAACCACATAGGAAGTAGCGACCCAGTTTATGGCTTGGAGGGAAATGAGACGGATTATTGCACTGGTTACTTTGTAGTAGAATATCCAACGACGCATTAGCGAGTCGGCTAACCAATAACTCCAGAGTCCAGCTAGCAAGCACTGAATTGAAAAAAGCGCATGAAATCAGAAAAATATTCTAGAGGAGAAATGTTTATTGTGATAATAACACGAGTCTTATCGAGCGCGTTATTGTTACACCTCAGAAAACCACTCTTTCGTCACTCACCCACATGCAAGCAATCAGATAATCTATCCAAGTATTTTTCACTGCCATTCCCTCAGCATAGTGCGCTGACATATCGTCGACCCCGTACAGAAACATTGCACAGGCGTATGATGCAGGAACCAAGCTCGACGCACGAAGGAGGAATAACAGCAAGTGATATTTTTTGGGTACCCCCATGCCGAACGCGCGGTGAAAGGAAGGGAGAGATGGCTAAGATGAAGAACGGTAAACAGAGAATATGAGATATACGAACGGAACGGGAGATGAGTGAAAGATCTTTGGTTTGCAAGCTGATTGGGTTGCGTTGATTCACAGTTTGCTTGCGCATTATACAAATAGTGAGCATAAAAATAACCTGGTTTATTAATTTGAAACAACGACTGACATACCGAGACCATGATACCTATAGAACAAAGTTGCACTATGCGATTGGGCTCTGACTATGAGCCGATGTACCTTGAAAAAGAGAGATCCGTTCTCTGAGTGAACCCTTCAAAACTTGAAGGACCGAAAAGGGATGTGGTTTAACTCGAATAGTGTTTGATTCTCTGACGGGTTTATTATTATGGTTATCAAAAAATTGCGTAATTGGATATGAAATCTTTTGGTAGCACATGGAAGATATTTAAATTTTACGTGACGTCACATTTTCTCGATTCATTAATGTTATGTCTATTAATTTGAAGTCCACACCCATCACACCTAATACTTTATTTCCTCCTAATATATCCGCAACGACTGCATGTTTTACTCGTATATGCTTCAGATATGGATGTTATTACGATTTTACCAAATTCTTCCGCTTTAGATAACAATCGATTCCTAAACCTAGCATGCGCCCGGCTCATCATCTTTCGAACTGTTTTATTTTTCTTTTTCGTCTATGAGATATCTATATGCTATTAAATTTTGGTAGCACGGTTATGTCAAAGTCTTAGTCAACCACAATGCAGTTTTTTTATGTACTTCATCCACTAAATTTTGAATACAACTTTTCATGCGTACTTGAGCGCGCGAATGAGTTACGCTTTTTTGCTGATGCTCTGGTGGTGCGTGAGATCAAGGCATCAAGGGCAAGGCATAGCGAAAAACACGATTGATATCATTGTCTCCTAGTTTCCTCTCGTATATTAGCTTCGAGTCGAGTCCATTTTAACTTTGCCAGTCTCATTCGGCCAACCATGATTGCGTCTTCGATGTTCATGGTGAAATGGTAGCTTCATTTTATGACGTTGATGACTAAGATCAACAGCAAGAAGCGTGTTATTATGTAGGAGCCTGATATAAAAACGGAATGGTTCGCGACAGTATTGATTGGTAATCGTCTGACGATCATTTTTCTTAGATCTAAAAATGAAGAATATGTTGATATTGATTCTCCTTGTTATTATTCCTTGCGATAACCTCATCTCTTGCTTGTATAGCGTCGGAGATAGCATGATCCAATACTTCATATGGAACCTTATCCATAAAAATCCATTCCTTTGTATGTTTAATCTTTAGCCGGAGGAG